AAAGAAATGAACAAATATTGTAAAAATTCTTCTTTTCCCATTTTATTTCAGCTGTAGTATTCCATTTTAGTTATATTTATTGAGTATAATTTAAGTTATAGTTTCTTATATATCTGCTTAATTTTAATTTATTACCTTACTTTCGCCTACTTGTGATTGAAACACTTTTTGCTAGAGAATGCTGTTTTGTAGTTTTAAATAATGGTTACGTTCTAGGAAGATGCTCATTTACATCATATAATTGCAATTAAATCTTTTAGTAGCCAACGTTTTGTTCACAGATCGTTGATTTGCGGGCGAGGGGATACAAAGGCAATTTCATCATTAGTGGGTGACTCCATGAAAGACTTCAGAGTAACATATGCTTCCAATTTCATCTTCTTTTCCACTCATAATCACTCATAAAAATGTTTATAATTTTGAGCTAAATTTACAAAATTTAGGTGCTTAAGTTTATTACTTACCGTGTAATGGAAAAGAAGGAGATTCCTGAAATGACTTGAAAGCTTTGATGTGAAGATGTGATAACATGGTGGAATGAAATCGTAATGTAAATGCTTATTATTGACCCTGGAAAGGTCCTTCGCCATTTGGACGTTTTAACTATTTTTCCTTTGGTGGAATTTTAAATAATCATTCTTTCATTAAAACTAGTTCATTTCCCTGTTGCTCATAAAATATGAAAAATAGGAAAATGTTTCTGCTCAACAGAATGCAATAATTATACTTCATTATATGAAAAAGATAAAACAATAATTTATAATATTCTTATATTAACTTTGTAAGGATTATGTTAATTTTATTAACAGTCAAATTTTAAGTTAAAGTTCCTTTCCTGTCAAAATCTTAACTTCAACTTACTACTTCCGGCCGGAACGTAGTTTTGGAATCACTCTGAATACTTAATTAGGAGGAGCGGTTCTACTTGCTGAGTTAGAGTTTTGATTTGCGCACGTCTGCCCATTTTGGCTACTCTTTCTCAAAGCTGTTATTACGCTCGGCCGTACTCAGGCCCTTGATAAGCTTCGTAGTCAAATAGAGTTAAGGGGCCAACTCGATTAGAATCTTGATAGCTTCGGCTATATCTCTTTAGTTAATCTTAGTTTTAGTTTATTTCTTAGTCTCTTAAGTTAAAGCCCAAGTGTCGGCTTTTATTGTACACTCCAAGACGGAGTTTTGTTAAATTGTATTGGAATAATAAAGGGTTAGTTACCCTTCCACCTTGTTGTTTCTTGTCACATAAACTTAAGCGATTATTCTCTAACTAGTTCTAAGGTTACTCACTTTTGACTGCATTTACACAGTGGTAAACCTCACAACGTAATGCAAAAAATGCAAATATATATCAAATATAAACTCTTTAAATTTACTTCTTAAAGTTTTTCCATTTTACATGATTTAATAATCATTGAGGTTATCTTCATGAAAACATATGCTTATCAATATAAAATTAATGTAATTATTGTAAAATTATTTTTTATTCTAAAAGGAAAATACGTTTGGTTAAAGAATTTTTTAGAATAAGAATGAATGTTGCGTGAGCATATCATACATTTTTTAAAATATAGAATTAAGCTGAAAGTATACGAACGTCTTTTAGGCTATGGGTTGAAAGATTTTTTTCTTTAATGGCTGGCACTAGCCATTTTTAGGCCACTACTAAGGCCAGAAGCGGTGATCATTTTATTATGAAGGCACCTAACAGACGGTCACAGTTACCTCCTATGAAGAGACACAGACAATTTAGATCCACGCCTTCTTCGGGATTCGAACCCGGGACCTTCGGTACGGCAGTCAAAGTCACTAACCACTTTTCCGTCTGGGCTGTTTCACGGGGTAGATAGCAAGCAGAATGAAATTATTCTAAATTTTCCTCTTTATAAGATACAGCCTTTTTATGTTACGCAACTATTATCTACCTCTATCTATTATACCTCATTTACATCTATACTTGCCAGATATGATCATAGGGATATAATTTGTCTCAGTATCAGCAAACTGTATGTGCTTATAGATTTCTCATAATCTCGAGCCACCCGCATTCGAAATTGTCAGCTTATAACATAACTAATTTTTTGGGGGGGATAGTGTAACTGTATTTTGTACCAACTACCAACACTAATTGTAACAGTAACACACATTAAGAACATATACATCCATATTTTTTTATAAATTCTTCTGCTCAAATAAATGGCATACATTTCTGAATATCAGGTCTTTGAGAGATGTCTCAGAACTTTCAAAAATAAATTTGTTTTTGTTTCATTTAAATGTCATTGTCATTTCGTATATTATCACTTCCTGTACAAGTGACTTCTTTTTGCCTTGACCTTTGCAAAAATAATAAAGTGTACATGATTTATCGGTTGGACGCGAGATATAAAACACAATCGGTTCATCGCACTGTTGCAAAGAACTATATATTTGAAATGACACAGGAAATAGAGCATGTTAAGTTCAGATGAAGTCGTAACGAGTTTGCAATCTTTCTTTATTACTTACTTTAGTTAGATTTTTAAATGACAGACTCAGTTTGAAAGCTTGTATGTATGGTAATGCTATGCATGGAAGGCCGAATGATATGTTGGAGTTTTACTATACACAAAAGATCACTTTATTAACCTAATTGCAGTTAAGTCAGTGATGCATTTTGGTGAGAAGAAAGGGATTCTGCTCCTGTGTCTAAAAGGCTATCAATCGTAATCAAAGACTTCATAATAGGTAATAAAAAGGAAATCCACATTATTTCAAAATACGTCCATGCATTTGTTAAAGTGTAAGAAATAGAAGAGAATAGACAATTTTGACAACAAATTTTAATAGGATGCTCCATACATTTATAAAAATTACCCTTATTTCTAAAAGAAACTATGTGAGGACTAATCTTCGTGTCAGAGAAAGAGAGAGGATGAGGGCATTATTTTAGGGTGTGTTGAACCCTTTCCTTGAAAATTGAAATTAAAGTCAAGAACTGACTGAATTTTGCAATTCCCTAAACTTTATGTTTACGTTAATCTTTTATATGTGCTAAAGTGACTTAATCTTGTATTCCGACATCTAAATAGAAATATCGGGCTGTAATATAAAATTAAATTATATTTTATTTGTTATTACCTTAGAGCAGGGGTTCCCAAACATTTCGTACCTACGGGCACATTCTAGAATATCTGTTGGACCAGCGGGCACCATTTACTTTTTGCTGGTGAATTTACAGTTGGATAGAGTTAATAATACATGCACATTAAAAAAAGCCTTCGGTCGCATTTCGCTTTGAGATGGTATCTTTGAGATGGTGCAGGACGCAATTTCTGTTTCATTAAAAATGAGAAAACTTTCGCACGAATTTTATTGAAAACTAAAGCATTTTTATTGGGATCGCACAGCGGCTGGCGCCATGGTGCCCACGGGCATAGGGTTGGGTACACCTGTCTTAGAGTGTATTGCTTTTTAATTAGACGAAGTAAATTTCTGAAACTTACACTACGTAGTTTTTTAATCTAAAACATTTTCAAGAAGGAAACATGAGTAATGGGACCTCGTATTCTACTTCGAAGAATATGTTATAAACACATATTTGGGTGAAGTACTGATGCAAGCAGAATATATTAGTATAATGAGTTTTGAGAAATTAAATCTTATATTTCAGGTTGGAAAAAATCATATTATAGATACGTATTTGCCCCGAAATGATGTGAATTCGAATGCAGCCTTTAGTATAACATCAGTGTAAAAATTGTCATTTACCTTCTCGTACTTATAGCTTTTCCAGGTTTCTGATTTCTTAATGTCAATTATAGTGCTAAGAAAAAAGAAAGTTTTAAGCACGCAACTTTTGCGTTAAAAGTTTAGTTTTTGCTTAGCTAAACAACGCATGTGAAATACCTTGTGAGCATCTGAATGACCGATTTACATGTTTCAGCATTTTCCAGAAATATTTACTGAATTTTTTCTAGTTTCTTAATAAATAATTCACGTATATATAAAAATGTATTAGAATCGATATTTAATTTTTCATTTAATTTGAAGAAATAGAAACTTTCGAAGACTGTTTTACGCATCTAAATTATAAATGTAAACAAAACAGAAAATAAGGTTCTACTAAGGATAGAGCTTTAGATTTATTTTGGTATCATTATAGTTTGCCGAAATCTAAGAAAAGTTTTCCTTATAAAAATAAAAACTTAAACGGTTTTTAAGCTGCTTACGTGCTATGGTGAGAAGATAGTACAGAAGTATGTTTATTACAGTGATTCGAATTAATAATTTTATGAAATTTTTCTGATATTCAGAGCCTACTCTTGTTGACATTATAAGAGATACGACTTTGATAACTTAACTGAATGCAACTGTGACAAATTCAGGAACATTGACTTCGTACAACTTTGTAACGACAGGTATGGCAGCATCTACACTAATTTTTTTAGAACCAAATTTAGGCAGTTTTCGCTGAACTGAAAGAAATTTGATTTAACGCTGTAAGAGAAGAGGAGTTGGCAGCTAGGAATCCTTGAAAAGCTGTGTCCTTGTTCGTGGTCGAATTCAGGACTTTTGACTTATCGGATTAGTATGCTGACTGTTATGCAAGAAGAAATACTTGAGACGGATGTCTGTAGTTCTATGCTATGTGGCTCTGAAACATTTCGTTGAAATCAGCATAATAATTAAATATCAATATAAAAATAAAATCAAATTGATTTCAAATGTAGTAAACATTATCTCAATTTGAGTTTTAAAAATTGTATGAGAAAGAGATGAAAATAGTTTTGATTTCAGCGAATCTATATTTCTATCCACCTAAACAGCGAAGGACTTTAATAATTTGAAAGTCACAGCTGCTTTGATGAGAGCAGTCGACAAGATTAAGAAGTAAAAAGAAAACTGTCAAGTCGATCGAAATTTACCCATCATTAAAATGCATGTCACTTATTGTAATGCATCTTTAAAAAAATTGAGTATTTTAGCTATCCATCATTGTGCAAGTATAATTCAAGGAAAGCAGAGCCGTAGAACGTTTTGTTTATTTAAGTGACAATGAAAGCAGAAATGAAAAAAAATAATGATATACAAACTAATCGCTTTTTACTCAAGCAAGTTACAATGTTCTGATTATTTAATATTATGTAACTTGCTTAAGTACAATAAACATTAAAAAGATTCAATTATACTTAATAAAATACATTTCTAGCTCATAATAAAAAACAGCAGTACCATAATAGAAGAAAACAGAAAAAAATATTTTTAAAGTGTTCCTAATGAAAAAGAAAAATAAATTAAACATGAATTAATTAACGCAGCAAAAAATAACAACCGTACATAACACTTGAAATATAAAAAAAATGAACAAACAAGTAATTTGCACTGTCCCATATAGAATAATGGCTTGTATAAAACTAGCACATGTTAAAAATAGCGAGAGTTTGATTGCACAACAAATAGTTAATCAGAAGTCAATAGAAATATTTACAGCATAATTTTCAGCTAGCTACATACTTAATTCTAATATAGCTGTTGAAAAATTCATCATATGCCTGGAACTTAGATAATGTCCTCTGAATCTGTATTTTGAATGAAAATAGAAATTTTATGTAATACCAGCCAAGCTAACGTACCAGCGAAAGCAACGAATTCTGTTCACGATGCAGGAAATGCAACAAAACAAAATATAAAATATTCAAAAATAAATAACTATAGTACAAAATGTCATAAATAACCGTCAATTCACTAGTAATCAGTGTATAAGCTTTCACTGATTTTTCAAACATATGAACAGAATATACATAGCTTTCAACAGTTCTCACGATGATAGTGAATGATAACCCTTATACCTATAATACCTTATATAAAATATAAATAAGCTTTACATAAATACTTTTATGGCAGTTTGAATAGTAAATACTGCGTAAAAGCATTGTTGTGGATACTTTGGCGAATGCTGAATCCTTTGAGATAAAGCCTTATAATACATAGTTCAGGAAAGTGCTAAATCTAGAAAATGTGCAATTATATCGTTTTTGTACTTTATATACAAAGCTGGACTTATTTCATTGCTGATTGCATAAGCGGTCGATAGTTCTTTCTTTTCAGTTAATTTAATTCTGCTTTTTCTCATTTTTCTCATTTTTTTCTTTTTTTTCTTCTATTTCTTCCTTGATTTCTTTTACAGCTATAGGACACTTGTAATATATTGCCGAGCAATCCCTTTGTTGCAAACCATTGCGAGCAGCTTTTAAGAAATCTTTCAGGACAGATTTAGTATTCGATGCAAACTTTGATCTTTCCAGCCGGGCTTCTACCCTGTGAGCAAAGCAAAAGGAAGAATGAAAATTTAAAAATATTATGCACTTAACAATTTTATGAAAGAAATCATTTAAAATTATGTCGAAACGTTTCCTTCCTTGGATAATTCATTTTTATTACTAATTACTTACTGAAGCTTTATAGTGTGGTCCCCCACTAATTGTTAGCGAAGGTGAGAATCGAAATGTTCTACCCACTCGGCCGTTTATGTTCACAAAATATGCAAGGAATAAAATGCTAGAGATAGCGTATGTAAACGGCTAATATACGTAAAATAATACAAAATAGCCTTTTATGTAAGTATAGCCTTTTATGTTTACTATCAGTAATAAAGTTACTTTCCTCAGCACTTGATATTTTGAGTTTGCAATTTTCCTTCTCTCGATGAGGGCGTTTATCATCACAGCTACATTCATCTGAAACATTTTACAGTAAAAGTTGCACCTAAAATAATTCATAATGAGCTGTTTAGTTTTTTTTAATAAAAAAATTGCATGGAAAAGAGATCATGTTAATGGAGAGGTTTAATTCTTTAAAAAAAGAAGCAATTTTGACTCTCCCTGTCAAGCTTGCAATATTTTTTAAAAAAGAAGTGTACTTGTATTATGTACTTAAATTGCCTCATAATGTATAATACAATTCTCAAAACGTTTCGGCATAGCTAAATTTGCCGATTAGTTAATACAATATGTTTCATAATTAGTTGATATAATGTTGTTTAATTAGTTGATACATGTTTCAGCATTTTTCAGAAATATTTACTGAATTTTTTCTAGTTTCTTAATAAATAATTCACGTATATGTAAAAATGTATTAGAATCGATATTTAATTTTTCATTTGATTTGAAGAAATCGAAACTTTCGAAGACTGTTTTACGCCTCTAAATTATAAATGTAAACAAAACAGAAAATAAGGTTCTACTAAGGATAGAGCTTTAGATTTTATTTTGGTATCATTATAGCTTGCCGAAATCTAAGAAAAGTTTCCTTATAAAAATAAAAAACTTAAACGGTTTTTAAGCTGCTTACGTGCTATGGTGAGAAGATAGTACAGAAGTATGTTTATTACAGTGATTCGAATTAATAATTTTATGAAATTTTTCTGATATTCAGAGCCTACTCTTGTTGACATTATAAGAGATACGACTTTGATAACTTAACTGAATGCAACTGTGACAAATTCAGGAACATTGACTTCGTACAACTTTGTAACGACAGGTATGGCAGCATCTACACTGATTTTTTTAGAACCAAATTTAGGCAGTTTTCGCTGAACTGAAAGAAATTTGATTTAACGCTGTAAGAGAAGAGGAGTTGGCAGCTAGGAATCCTTGAAAAGTTGTGTCCTTGTTCGTGGTCGAATTCAGGACTCTTGACTTATCGGATTAGTATGCTGACTGTTATGCAAGAAGAAATACTTGAGACGGATGTCTGTAGTTCTATACTATGTGGCTCTGAAACATTTCATTGAAATCAGCATAATAATTAAATATCAATATAAAAATTAAATCAAATTGATTTCAAATGCAGTAAACATTATCTCAATTTGAGTTTTAAAAATCGTATGAGAAAGAGATGAAAATAGTTTTGATTTCAGCGAATCTATATTTCTATCCACCTAAACAGGGAAGGACTTTAATAATTTGAAAGTCACAGCTGCTTTAATGAGAGCAGTCGACAAGATTAAGAAGTAAAAAGAAAACTGTCAAGTCGATCGAAATTTACCCATCATTAAAATGCATGTCACTTATTGTAATGCATCTTTAAAAAAATTGAGTATTTTAGCTATCCATCATCGTGCAAGTATAATTCAAGGAAAGCAGAGCCGTAGAACGTTTTGTTTATTTAAGTGACAATGAAAGCAGAAATGAAAAAAAATAATGATATACAAACTAATTGCTTTTTTACTCAAGCAAGTTACAATGTTCTGATTATTTAATATTATGTAACTTGCTTAAGTACAATAAACATTAAAAAGATTCAATTATACTTAATAAAATACATTTCTAGCTCATAATAAAAAACAGCAGTACCATAATAGAAGAAAACAGTCATTAGGTTAATTGGAAGCAGAAAAGATAAAAAATATACAACCGTCTTCGCCGGGAATCGACCACGGACCTCTGGAATACCGGCCCAGCGTGCTACCGTTACATCACGAAGGCACGCTAGGGAAATGGGAGAAATACCTTATAATGTATAAAAAAACCTTTTTGTAATTTAAGCAAATTTCGAACTTAGCTTAACCACGGTTTTCACAGAAAAACTCTACATCTTTTAACAAAGACTAAAACAAGTCTGCCCTTCTTCAAGGAGCAAATATATTCAACTAATTACCCCTACGGATTCTTAATTTAATCAAATAGTCATAAATGTTCTAATAACAGCTACAATTGTGCAGGTTTAAGTCACAAAACCATGGCCTCCTTTTTGCATGAAGATAAAGTCTTCGGCTGAAGGCGAAAAGTAGCTTTCTGTAATCCTTAACTGAATGGTGAGTAGTGTCCTAGAGTTTTCCGCTTAAGTTTTACTTACGACGATACGATAAGTTCTATACTTGTAAGTTTAGAATAGTTGTACATAATTATTATTTTCACGAAGTCATCTATAAAACTAACAAGGAGTACAGATTTACCTTGTACGGGCACACTGACCAACAACTTCGTTTTTTTAAATGCCCTTTTCTAGCACAAATCAAGCACCTCCTTTTTTAATTACCCTTAACCTTACTGAAAAACTGCAGATCGTTATAGAAAGTGGAAAATTATTGAAGCCAGTAAATTCATTTTCAGATATTTCCGGATGAAGATTTTTCACATCTTTAGATGTATAAAGATAAGGAATTTTTGCACTTAACTTACTTAAGCATACTGAATATTTTACTGAATTCAGTTATTGCTATACGGGGATAATGTAAAAAATAAGATTTTACATTTACATATCTTTCCAATCCCATTGTGGCAAATCTTTTCTTAAGATTCTATGCTCCTTTTTTTGAGATAGTTTGTGTTTCGATACACAGTCCTAGAGTCAATTTTTAAAGAAATAAAGCTTACAGTCATCATTTCAGCACTCTGTATGCACACTGATGTAATTTGCACATAGCATCATTTAATTATTCAAAAGCTTTAAAAGACTAAATATGAATAATCTGATTAATAAAAATGTAAAAGAGAAAATAAACTTGACTGCTGTTGTGTTTTAATATATGCTAAATTTCACGATTTTCCTTAATAATTCTATTAACACTGCAATGGTATTTTGAAAAGGATAATAAAATATTATTAATTCTAGAAATTTCGTTTAGTTTTTAAATTTAGCTAAAACATTGATAAAATTATTTACAGATATATACTATTATAAATTCTTAACCTATCTTCTAAGGAGAGAATGTAATGAAAGATTTCAATATTTTTAACAAGCCAAGCAACAAAATTAAAGTATGAAACACGTGTTAGAAGTAATAACATAATATACAATACATAAACATAGAGTAATATAAAAAAAACATTTAATCATGGAAACCTTGGTCACATAAAAGCAAAAGCATAACTAGCTAAAATTTTATTCTTTAAAGGACATTTGCTTGCAATTTATACCATGGTTATTAGTAGTAAGAATATTAAAAAACAACTTTTCATTTTAGTAATTTAATAATCATAGAATATTTATCCAATAATAATAGAAACATTTATCATAGAATATAATCATAGTTTGGATTTGTATTAGAAATTTAAAAATTACAAAATTTAAAGGGCTCATCGTTCTATTATTATTGCTGCTTTAAAATTGGTTTAATATAAATTGGTAAAAGCAATTGCTTGATCCTTTTTTATATTTTTTTATTTAAAAAATGTAAAAAAACTAGAATCTGGTCAAAATAATTGAAACCACTGTTATAAAATGTTTTAATTACCACCAGCTAATTAAAAGCAATTTTTGATTACAAAATTTATTAATATGAATGTCGCATAGGAGTAAATCGTACTTTTCTGCAGTCTGGTGCAATAGTATAGAAATCTAGAGAAATAAATGGTTATGCGATTAGTTTAACTGCGATTAGTCATAAAAACATTTGCTTTTAGTTTTTTTGCAAATTTAGTCTTAAATTTTTTATGGAATACCTGCATAAAATTTTCCTTTTTATTACGGAGGAATTTCGAAACTGTAGCTGAACTGTTTTTGAGGTTTCCTGATTTTTGCTCCTAAATGCTTTAGCAAAGAAATTATTAGATTTCATACTTTACCCAAATGCCTGTATCATCTTCTCCGTGAAAGATCCAAAACTCGGATTTATACTCTTGCGATGAACTTCACAAACTATAAGCCGCTGGCAGTCGGGAACACTTAGGTCATATTGGTCAACCACTTTTTCCAGCTTTGCCAAAGCACCAAGAAAAGTTGAAAAGCGGTTTGTTTTCTCTTGTTCTGTAGATCGCTTTTTTAAGAAAAGGGCTGCAGCTCCTCCTTGTCCAGCGTTAGCAGCATTGCCAATAAGTCCTCCAAGTGGGCGCAAACCTCCACCTCCAAGAGGACGTAAGCCCAAGGGCCTTAGTCCTCCTCCAGCTCCACCGACGGGTCTTAAGCCTCCTAGGCCAGCGCCAGCTCCGAAAGGTCCTAGTATACCTAATGCGCCCATACTTCCCATGCCTGCACCTCCACCAAGACCTTGTTGATTAGCTCCAGCTCCTGCACCAATCAGTTGTCGCAAAAGTAAAAGAGGTAGTAGAGGTATACCCATCATTCCAAGGACTCTCATAAAGGGTCGAAATGATCCTAAGTTCAGAAATCTCCTTCCTTCTAAACTGTTCTTGTCATCATTTTTGGATATGGTTTCAGATTTTGCTGATGTGAGAGGCAGACTCAACCATATTATGGCCAAAACAAGCAACAGTAAAACGTGACAGTGCACCAGTTTCATCTCGATTTTTATCCTGTTGTGGTAGAGAAATCTGTATTAGGTAACTAGCATATTAGATTTAATAGCCTACCTAACAATACATTCAAAATAACTCGCAAATGAAAATGCTATTAGAATAATAAATAAAGAAGTATGGGACAATTCTTATGAAACAATGGGAGTCTGAACTCTTACACCTACTGAAAATCATTAACATTTGCGATAGTTTATTTCAAGTAAAAACTTTAACTGAAAGTTTCAATTTTTACATATTTTTATAGAAATACCTTTATCCTCGAGTTATCTTTATTCATTAGATGCGCAAAGAGCACTTGCCTGAATAAGAACATATGAAAGCTGGAAAAAATACAGTAAATTTCCGTAACTATTGGTATAGAATTACTTAAAATAAGGCTGAGTGTTTAAGTAGGTAAATTCTTTAAGGCAGTGGCCAAAATAACTGAATATTCGAGCACTGGAAAGTCTTTCAGATTAATACCGCTCAGATTCTTGATACAATTACTTATCGCTGCAAGTCTTCGAAAGTGAGGAAGACATAAGTAAAATATATAAAGAACATTTTAGTGTTTTCTGTATCAAAAATATAATAAACTTCTCTTACCCGTCTTTGTCCGAAACATATGTACTGCTTTAAAATTTAATTTTAAATAAATTATATTGGGAATTGCAATCACATAATCAGAGAGGTGAATAATATCTGATGGTAGTCGATTTAAAATGCCTGTTTACAGTCATCTATGTCATGAAATGATAAAAGTAGTAGAGTTCTTCCGGCACCTGGCTGGTGACTATGTAAATAGAGCCTCAGAACAACATTAGTTTGTTTCAGGTTTTATTCCCTGACTTTGAACGGGCTCACTGAGTCCTTTAAGAAGGCATCCCTCATCTTAGACAGAATGCGTTTGCGAGCTTTGATAATCCTATAATAGTAATAATCCTATTCAGCTCTTTGAGTGAAACTGTAATTTATCTTTCGTATGTTAATATATTTTGTATATTGAGCAGCTGAATTATTTAAGTACCTATTTTCTTTTTCTTGCAAATAATGATGATAACCATAATTTATAACACTGGAAATATGGTTTCAACTAAGCAGGGCTAAATATTTCAAAATTAGCACTTATTTGCAATACATTTTAAAATAAATAATTTAAAAGTATACTTTTTAAAACAGATAGAAGCTCCACTTTTTATTACGTAAATACATACTTTATGCTTTTGTGTAATATTAGTACCTTTAGATCTATGTCATTTTATCCAACAGATTTTGATATAGGTCCTCAAGAAAAATTAAATTTTGTCTCTTAAGTATTCTGATTTCTATAATGTTCTTTGATGAAAAGCTTTTTTAGTATTTGAAATTTTAAATCAATTAATTAATTTTGTGAAAAGAAATCAAATTAACCATAGTATGGAACTCAGTAAATTCCATATCAGCTTATTTCTTTCTCTTTTTCTTAAAATATAATTTTTGCTATGAGCCACAATTCACACAAATACAGCTCTATTAAAACAGCAAGTATATAAAATAAAACAATTTGAGCAAGTGCATTATTTTTACGATATTTTAGACATTCTTCATATTAATTAAACTCTGCTCGGAAATAAAATGTTTACTTATATATAAACGTACATAAAAAATTTAAAGATAAGTCGTCTTAAGACTAATCCTTCATCTGGAACTATTCCCAACTTGGATTATCAAAAATACTTATGGAAACTTAATACATATACTTTCATTGTTTTGCCGCACAATTTATAAACGCATTTCGATTTAAACAACAAGCTTTAATATGATTATGCCTTAAGAAGAGATTAAGGCAGAAAAGGACCAAAGTGCTCCAGACAATGGAAACAAAAGATTATATAAATTCCAGAGCACAGAATGCTACAAATACTTTTCTCCATTTAACTAATAGCAGTGATCGAATTGAATTCGACCTTATTAAGAGTTATTCAGCTCAGCTGTTTGATAGATTTTCTTTCTGGAAATAGCTGATCTCCAATGAGCTTAAAACGCGAACACTCACATATATGTCATGATCTCCCAATAAATGACTAAATGCTTTTGTATTACGTATTTTTTGATAGCTTATTATATAAAATATTGTCATATTGTTTACTTAAGCAGTTCTTTAAAAAGTTGGTGACTGCCTTGTTAAAGATTATAAGAGCATTTCGACACAGATAACGATAATATATTAATATTTCATTTTTTTTCTTTCATTGCTGTTATGACAGCACGTAGTTCTGTTCTTTCTGATTTATCACTGAAAACATCTTTTCCTCTCAACAAAATGCTTCACTGAAAAAATTTACATCCTTTAATTTCTGCATCGTTGACTCCATTAACTTAAGCAAAAGTATAGATAAAAGAATGGTGTATCCTGTAGGTTTCGTCTCACCAAACTGATTTCTTTACAGAAAATATAAAGACGAAAAGAGTATTTGGTTTTTCTAGAGAAACTTCTTATGAACACTACAGATCCAGAGAGAAAATAACTTCGAGAAAGTAACTTAAAAATGTTTTTAAAACCGAATCCTTGCAATAATTTAAAATTGTACTGAACGGTGAAAATTATTTTTCTGTTTGCTTTGTCTTTATTAATCTGAACAAAGAAGAAATCAAAAAATCATAAAGTAAAACAAACCTCTTGAATTTTCTCGGAAAAAATGCTGTTTTTTCTAATTACCAGCTATGTTTAACATTTTCCAAAATAACTCTTTTAGAGCCTAATGAGGTCGCTCTGTTTGTCGTACTCTACTTTTAAAAAATCTTTGCTTTAGACATTAATTGTTTCCCTTGAAAAAATAATTTCAGAGATATTTATCATTTACATTTTTTTTTTCAGATATCAATATTTATCTATTTAAAAATTAGGAAATCAGCTTGTTTCTTAAACACCTTAAGCCGGCTTTCAAAACAGACAGTTTGATTTATTATCAGCATCAATAATTACGCATGTCTGTTTAAAAACAAAGCGAAAACATGCTGAAATTTTGTTTATTTCCGTTTTAAATTACTTTCTCCATCGAAAAGATTTTCAGCTTAACCTCTTCGTAAGACATGAGATATCAAGAATATTTATGAAATGTCCCAGTCGATAAGAAGAAAGTTTTCAAAAAGCTTATTTGAATTTATTTCAGTTTAGAACAAATATAACTCCGAAAATATTTTATTACACTTAGAGCTAAATTAATTATATATATAGGTTTTTTTAATTGAGAAAAAGAAAATACTTACTTGTGATTAAATGTATTTCCAAATCCAATACTATCCTTGAACAACAGGTGGAAACACAAAAACAAACAGATAAAATCGAATCTCAACAACTGATGCTCGCTCGCGTCAAGTGTATAACAGCGGTCAAAGTTTGGGGAATGCCATTTATACCGAGCCCATAGGCAAGAAGTGGATTCAACTCTTCATACGGGCACTCGGTCATCAATGTCCCCAGATATAGGTCTGAAGAAGAATGTTACCTGGCAACGTAAAGGTGAGGGGGGGGGAATAATTCCCCATCTCAAAGGTTCACTAGTTTTCCTACCTTACTACATGATAATCTGTTCGGAAGTTCTATGGCTTGGAGCGTTGTTTTCTGTTCGTTGATGATGCTCCTCTATTCAGAGCCTTCAGAGTTGATTTGCCCGAAGCAGGCGGAAGCGTATGGGATTGTTTCGTTTGCATTTGGGAAATTTCTTTGCTGCGCGTTTCATTCTTCTCTTTTACTATATTGGTAAAGTCTGGCATTCATAATTAACTTTTGAAACCTCTAGTAACAGATTACTGAAGCTAAAATATTATAATACTTATACAGCCTTCTTCACAATACCTATGTGAGCTGTAATAAAGTTAGTAAATTATTAATTTCTTACAATTTTACAATTTTATATTTCACAGCAATAGCTTAACACAGTCTTGGATTATTAGGAATACAATAAATGATAACCGGTTTACACGCAATTTGTAATATTTTCTGAATCTTTTATTTCAAGTAATCATCAGTATCTTGTAATACAAAAAATTGATAAATTCTGATGACATAAATTCAGTTTTTAAAATTGTTCAGTGGTTGTATTTAAGGAGTTGGAAATTTTTTTGAATGAATATGTTATGCCGAAGCGAAAATAAAATCGCTTTGAATAGTGTTTTAATATATCATAGTGTGTTCTGTGCGCTATGTAAGCGATATAGGAAAGTTTCATTGGAAATGACGGATATTCAGGAGTTAAAATCATTTAAGAACACTTCATTTTAAATCATGAAGTCATGAAAATTAACAAAGAGATCATGATTATTATCTGTTATCCACTGATGACTCCTAAATAAAAATCCTATACTAGAAACATTTGTACTAAATTGTAACCTGAATTATCAATAAACATCCTTGTTTTACTTAAAAACCTGAAATCCCAAATAATAAACTTAAGGCTTTTATCAGCCGTCATTATTACTTATGAAAATTACATTAGAACTATTTCGTTCCTAAACAGTACAAACAAAAGCAATTATATTTATTTATAACTTCGAAAAATAGATTATTAACTTGTACAGTTTATCATGCCATTTCGTTGCATTCTATGGAAAACAATATCTTTTCTTATATTAAATTCAGGAAAATATCAATAGTCTGTAAGGTATTTTCTACCTTCTTTCTGCATGCCTTCATGGTTTAACGTATTCGAGAATTCCACGTTCTAGTCCCGGCGAGGACATTGCTCATTTTTCGTGTTTCCTACTTCAAAAATCCTGATGACCCTACAGTGGCGCCTGAACTAAAAGGTGGTGGATGCTGATTCTTCCCCACCAGTATTTGGTGTCTGTATCCCCAGCTGCCCTTTAAAAGGAGGAGTATATAAGGTATTTTCTCCCTTATTTCTGCATGCCTTCGTGATGTAACGGTAGCACACTCGGCACGTATTCGAGAGGTCCAGTTTCGAGTCCCGGCGAGGGCATTGCTCATTTTTCATGTTTCCTACCTGAAAAAATCCTAATGTACAAGTTATACACTCAGTTAGTTTTGTTATCTTTTTCCTACCACACTCGAGAATAAAACTGATAACCATTAGCTGCGAAAAATCTTAGGTGATAACAGAAAATATATTATACCACATGACAAGCATTTGATTTAATGTATTTATTGAAAGTTAAATCATACCATGCCCACATCAGTAACTGAAAGCACTACAAGTAGAGAGTTTAAATTTCGCTTTCTAGGGAGATATCTTAGCTTAGATGACTTAATTGCTTATAATTATTATAATGCGATGAATAAAATATGTACGTGGATAAATAACATTACTTTACAATTATTACAGTTGATAAAAAAATGTGAAATTAAATATTCGATTTGAAGAATTGTTTCTCAGATGATTAATGCACGCATCAAAAGAGTTAAAACTTTCATGATAATGTATTTAGGATTTCTCTTTTCATGATATCGTCACGCTTAGCGGTAATGGACATTAAAGTGTAGAAGACATTTTTACTTCAGTGTAGAAGATCATAATTATTTGCAAGAATTCTGTCTTCGCGTTTTTGACTTAATAATTGGAAACTTAAATGCAATTTGGATCATTATTGCACTTCCTAATAACTCTTGATTCCCTGTTTCTGAAATTTTCTGGGCTTCTTACCCACTTATTTGAACTACTAGCAACGCATTTTAAACTTTTAAAATGCCTATGCGTGTTTGTGTATGTGCATTTACATAAATTAATTAATATTATACATTTGAAACTTTATATTTAATTTAGTATATAATGAAATTCATTATACGTATGCTGGGGGTTTATTAAAAATACAGATTTAATTAATATTTATATTAAAAACATTGTCAATAAAAATTATATGCAACTTTATTTTTTAATTTCTGAGTTTTAGAAATTACACACATATATATTATAGAAATTACACATATATATGTTTTCATATAGTAGTAATATTATAACACGATAGTGTTAGCTTAATAAATATATAACACACACAATACTGTTAGCTTTACAAGTGTAAAAATAGCAGTTTTATCAATGGGACAGATGAGTTAGGTTAAAGTTAATTTCTTACTAAACATAGGATTAAGACTTATTAACGGAAGTCATGAAATACCGCGCTCAAGAATTTGTGAGCGATTTATTTTTGCCTTGCTTTATCAAAAGTTTTGAGGCAACACTAAAATGTCATTTCTCTTAATATAATAATTGAGAATGGTTTTATTTGCAAGAAGATGTGCCAAGCATGTATGTAATACATTCAAGTTGTTGAACAAATTGCGTCTAAACTTGTTGCATTATTTCTGTCGCATTGCTTCAATTCTAAATGCTGTTGTTACTCAGACAAATCCCTCAATTTTAATATCACCAAAAGGGGGAAAGAAATGGATTTTGAATCGAAGCAAATAAAATAATTGAAATGAAATGCTAAAATGCGTCTAGCAAATACATATTTATTAAACAACTTTTATTTGTAATAATAATAATAACAATAATAATAATATATTTATTTAAATTAGTAATTTATAAAAGTAATTACTTCGGAACAATTAGTATTACGGAAAAACTTGCGATTTAAAAATTTCATCAGTTCTAATGTGCACCTCGTTTTTAGATACGTTTACATAGGAAAATAATCGAAGAAACACGGTGTTTAAGATTACCGCCAATTTCTACTTCCTTAAACCCTGAAGCTCCTCTAGTTCCCTATTAATGCCGAATTTCCTTAAATATAACTCAGATTTCCCAAGGGTTGCTCAGTTCAACAAATATTGTTTTAAATAAAATGTTATTCACTTCAAATAAACATTTTATTCATGATGTTTTCATAGTTCTAAACTTTCAATAATACTATTACTTTATATTTACATTTGGAAGGTTCTTCTGTAAATTCCTTATCTGATTGTGAACCTTCAGAGTGAAAGTGAAGAGTGAAATCTTTCTATCCGACTCCTTTTTGTTAGATATTTGACGATTTAAATTTTATTAAGTTTAATTTTAGCTGTCTCGCATCTAAGAAACTTTTTAAAGTAAAACTTGTAAAATATAAACTATTTTCTCCGTGTATCAATGGATCTTCATTTAAATATTTGAAGTTAGAGCATTTTGTTCATATAAAAATATTTCTCAGTGCTCGGGAAGAAAGGTTTTATAATAAAACACATCACAACTATTTGTCAAAGAGACATTATTGTTCCATTAGGTTTTTTAATACAGTAAAAGATAATTCAAATGGGTGATGTTATCCTTGTAATGTAATAAAGTAATACTTTTTGTAATGTAATATAATATATACAATAAAAGTGATATTGTTTTATCTTTTTTGCTTCAGACGATTAACTTCTTTAAAATGTTAGAATGGAATATAAAAAAAGTATTAAAAAGTATGCATATTTATTTGAACATAAACTGGGAAGCATTACATCTCAATCACATAATGAAAATATATTTTTATTACAAAGCATTACACAGAATATGAAAAGTATTTTTTACACAAATTCTTTAAAGATCATTCAGTTTTCCATACTTGCTGATCGCCGAATCCAGCTTATCCCATATTTCTCCGATGACTTTAGTAGAATTGAGGGATCCAAGGAGCTTGCCCGTTGCTGTTGTTACTGCTGTTGGAATATTACTAGCAGGTGCAATATTAACGGCTAAAGTAAGCATTAGAGTTAAGAGAGGAAGTAGCAGCATTCCTAAACCAGCCAAGACGTAAGGGATCATGTGGTGATAATCATAACTTTTGCTATAGTAGTACGGATAATGCTCTCCATAATGACTGTACCAGTGGTCGTAGTAGCTCTTGTGCTCGGGGCCGTAGTGCTGGTAAAAGTAAGGATCTCCTTTTCCATACCTGCTGCTCTGAGATTTTAGGTCAAAGTCAACGTACTTTTTATGAGTATTTGTCGATGAAGGCGGATGAGTAACTTTAGCTGGACTACTAGGAGGCTTAGTCACAGGTGTCGAATACTTATGAGCAGAAACTAAGATGCTAACCAGGCACAGAGTGAAAATACAATTCTTCACAGTATAATACATCTATAAGAAAATACGATATTTTATTAGACACAAACCGTCAAAATTTAAAATTTCTATAAGGTTTAAAAAATCATTTAACTACTTTATTTCCCTAGATATGTACTACAATTTGCATTGGAAGCTGCATTAGCTGTGCTACTTGCACAGATTCAGATTCAAATGTGAAGTTTCAATCAAACACCTGACGTACCACGTGAAAGTTATAAAACTTAATTTTTGTCTCTAACTAGAAGGTTGTTTTTAATTTGTATTCTTCTGATGTTTTTTCTTGAGAATTTACTTTTACCTTTGCCTATTTTTCAGCCGTTAATGAGGTAAGACGCAAAGGTCTAAATGAGTAATGCAACCTCTAAATGAGAAAATTTTGGTGAGATTACATATATTTTGATAATGATATAGAAGTTTAAAAGTAATGTGTAGGCACTTTACTTATCTTTTAGTCATTCAGTAGCAATACAAAAATAAAAAAATAAATAAATGCGCTACAACGTATTAGTTTGTAGAGACATTATATTTTTGGAAGCAGGAAAGATGAAAAATTAACAACGCCTTCTCCAGGAATCGAGCCATGGACCTCTGGAATACCGGCCCAGCGTGTAGAACCATTACACCACAAAGGCACGCTAGGAAGGCGAGAGAAATACCTTATATACAACCCACTTTTAAAGGGCGACTGGGATTTTTAGGAGATCCAATCGCCAAATCCTGGGTGAGGAGAATCATCATCCAACACCCGTTCAGTTCGGGCGCCACTGTAGAGACATTAGGTTAATTGGAAGCAGAAGAGGTGAAAAATTAGCATCGCCTTTGCCAGGAATCGAACCACGGACCTCTGAAATACCGCCTCAGTGTGCTGACCGCTACACCACGAAGGCCCGTTAGGAAGGTGGGAGAAATACCTTATAAGTTTTCAAGATACCTGTAAATCTTAAAACAGAAAAAGTGCATCTAAACACTGCGGCGAAGAAACTTAATTGTATTATATTCCAATATGAAAAACTCTACTTTTATTATGGAAATTATGAAAGCATTACTTTTAGCATAAAATATGAGTTTTGCTGATTTTTCTATTTATATTTAAGATATTATTCTTATTCTAATTTTGGGTAAGAACTTCTGCTTATTATACGCTTAAGAGTTTTGTATTGCATTAAATTATCAGCTTATTGCCGTTTCTTTAAATTGTCGTCAGATTTGTTTTTTTAGCTAAATACAATTAAATTTGCGCTAGTTTCCAATTTTTGAAGTAATTACTAATTTGTTTTACATTCACTTAGAGCAAAACCTCTTGTTATTCTTAAATAACATTTTGTAGTTACTCATTCATTTCTCACGGCTAAATATTTTCTCTTCAATAAATTTATTTTATATTCAATCTTTACTAAGTATTTATGCTTTACTTAGTGATTTTTAAACATACAAAGTGATTAAACAAAGCACAATTAAAATTATTTTAATTTAAAACTCAGAAGGAATTTATTTTCACTCATTCGGTAGTCGGCCTGGGTTAGAGTTCTTGCAACCAAACTGGTTTACATGGACGTTCTCGAGGTTTCCCTTCGATGCAAGCTAGTTTCGCTTAAGTTCTCCACGGAGCATCCCTCCCTTTCCTACTGCCAGAAGGTGAAGCGCGTGATAAAAAATTATATTCACTCAAAATGCGGTTCCGTAATCGTAGGGAATAAAATAAATTTGAAAGATACAAATCCTTTATAACACAGCTTTCAAACTGCTTAAACATTTATTCATTCTGCAACGTTAAAACTCGGATTTCGTTAAAATATTCATTTTTCAGTTTTTCAAATATTACATATGTTTTTCACAATGAAATTTAAATTCCCAATGTAAAAATGTTTTAAAAAATACAGTGAGTTTAAAATATGTAAGGCTGCCCTAAATATGGTTTGGAATAATTTATGTAAATTTACTAAGAAAACACGAAAATTATATTCACAGTTTCTAAAACAGAGAATTCACTTATGTTCTTGTTCACTTATTGGAATGCCACGAATTTTTGCTCCAGGGCCTACACTGCTGGAGCCAGACAAGGCTCGTTAACCTAAATTTAATAACAAAAATAATACCACCCCTCTGGGTCTAGGGATACTTGACCTCAATGGCCTACATTGGCAATGGCCAACTTCTGTACGTACCAGGATCAATTTGAGACGTGCTTTGGAGCCATGGGCCATACTCAATGTTTTACCCAATATTTAGGAGTACATTCAGGATAAATAAGTGCAGGTTATTTCAGAATAAGGGCTATAATTCATTTTCAATTGAAGCAATTTTGAGGAATAATGAAACTTAATATAAGTTTGCACATATTAAAATACCATTTTGAATACATAATGCTCATGACCTTAAATCTAAAAATATACTTAATACATGCCAATGAAAAAACATGAAAGGAACGAGATCCTTCTAGTACAGTTTTCAGTTGTACGCTGTTAGAAGTTCTGTTCAAGGAGGAAGACTGCAATTAAGCTTGCGAACTGAAGTAACTGATAAACATTGTGTACTGTTGTAAAATAATAACATTGTAACAACTGATAAGTCCGGCAAAATTTGTGGCTAATGTGCGGGTCATTGTACGTCTAAGTCATTGTTATAGTAGTAATACTAATTAACACTCTGTATCATCCTTGCCAAGGGCCACGGATAAAGATCTCAGGTCGTATGTGGCCAGTTGACTTGCAGTTGGATACCACTGGCCTATATATATATATATATATTTTTTTTTTGCTTTGCTTAAACCTTCAAGGTCTGATGCAAATGCAAATTTTCCTCCTTTCATTCTACTCAGACTTTTTTGTAACATCTGTTATAAAATTATCTGTGATTGTAAACTAGATGTAAATCAGTCAATGTATTTCTTCTTAAAGCAGTATTATACACATTTTAACAGTACTGTATCTAAATGAAGAACAAATCTGAATTTTAATATTTACATCATTATTATAAAAAATATGTACATGGAGCTTTCAAACCGAAATGAGGTAAAATGCTTCGGATCAGCGTATGATTTGTCATTCACGAAAATTTCAGTATTCATTCAAAGAGATATTATTAACATAATATTACTTTATTACAGTTGCATAATTTTTCCATCTTAATGTAGTTTGCATGATGCAGCAAATATGAAATTTTATAAAGTGAATTTTATGATTTAAAACTTTCATCTTATTCTCAATTAAAAAGTTTGACGCAAATTCCATCTTATCTGAAATTATAAATTATATTCGTAAGTGTTTAAGTTTGTTGAAGAGATGAACCTTATCTCGATTGTTAGCCGTAGTATTAGTAGCCGAAATAGATTAGCCGTAGCATTTTCACTGCTATCTTAGTAGAGAGAAATAGATAAATAACAAACATGTATCTTTCTAAACTTAACCTTTCTATTAATGTTTACCCTTTCTGTCATAAAATCTCGTTTCTTGATGGCTAAGAGGTCTGCGCTCTTGAAAGGAAATGAGTTTTTCATTTATCTTTAATTACATTTCATTTAATAAAGTAATTAGAAATCCTGACATTATCAGCCATTCCTCAAATCACCAAAAGGAAGCGTTGTTAAACATACACAAATTGCAATGTTATCTTCCAAAAAACGTTGCAAATTGATAAATTAAGCTCAAAAAACGAGATTTGAGTCATAAATCTCCTTTTGTACGTTGTTAAAGCCTTAAGTTAAGTTCTTACAACTTTTTATGTGCAATTCGCTTTGAATCGAATGAATTTGTTCTTTGACCTGTATTTTGGCCGTTACGTGATCATGTGCGCCTCTCTAAATTTATCCGCAAGGAAATTATAAAGGAATTAGCAAAGGTTGTAATAAGGTAAGACCAGAGCGAGAAAAATAACTTAAATGTTAGTGAAATCTATATACACGTATTTTAGTATTAGAAATTTGGAAAAACAAGAAGATAGATTTTAATGAGAGGCTTATTATTATTTCTTGAAATGGCTCTTTAAAAATGTATACCGTATTATTATGAAACTCTTAATCAGAGAGTTGAGTTATTAATTGGATTTAATCAGCATTTTCTGCTTTTAGTATGCCTTGTTTGCACACAAAAATTGCCAATTTTATCATGAAGATTGAAATTGCTTCGTTGTATTTAGTTTGAATAATTTGTTTGTTAATTTGGTTCAAATCTTGAAATACATTTCTGACTGAATTCTACAGAACCGATTGTCTTGAAATTTTGTTTACATACATATTTGCGATGATAATGTAAACTAAGCGTCTTTCTTTTCTTAACATTCGGTATTACTAGGACATTCCGCTCGTACATCCTTTTAACGATCGAACTAATTACTGAAGAATTTTGATTTTTATTGCACTATATAGAGCAAAACATTTATTTTCCGAAATAAATCTGTTCTGAATCTCTAACTTAATTTACTGACCTTTTTGTGATTTTTCATCATTGATTGATGGGTTGCTAACAATGACGATCTTTTAAATCAAAACATATTAAAGAAAGATTTTAATGAACAGAATGTAACCCCTCATACACAAATAGACAAAGAAAAAGATGATGTCACATACTTCGTTGTTATTGTGATCAGAGGGAATTTGGACCGTGACTGTGTTTACCACTAGTTCCTCTTAGTAAGTATATTGTTTTAACAAAAATTCTTTTTATAGTAACTTCGCGAGAACAAGATTTGAATTGGTGACATGATCATTAGAATAGATCCAGATGCAGCTTTAAAAATAAATAGTCATGCATACTAAATTTAGGCTTCCATCTTTTAAAACAAAAAGTCCTCACAGAATCCTGTTTGACAAATTTCTTCAGTCAGCAGCCAAAAGACAAGGCAGATATTAACTGATCACTTTTATATCACTCAGATTTGAACAAACATATTTTGACCAGTTGGAACCACGTGTTGGAGAAATCATGAGTTAATTTGTTGACCAACTGGTTGTCGGAGTTAATTTGTTGACCAACTGCTTGTTTGTTCATAATCGACCTGATTTCGAAATTTATATTTGAGTTTCATAAAACTGGAACCATAGTTAAGTGCAGAATTGTTTTAAAATGCGAAGAGTAAATGATTTATAAAGTAATGGAATAATTAATTATAACCATTTTTTCTTCTTTTCAAATTTTCTTTACAGAAGTCTGTACATCTTAATCGCATGATAGTTTTCAGATGTTAAAATAAATAGGCAGTATTCTGCTTTTAATCCAGAACTGAAAAAGTGAAAAAGTGGCATGTTTTTCAAACTCATGAAGTCATGCAGCTTTGCTATAAATGTTGCCTATAATAAGCTTTGTAGAGGCAAGCTTTCCAACTTTTACAAAAAGAATGTTAATTATATCGTAATTATTATAAGGTCTTAAAAGTGATACATGTCAGTGTTACGAAAATGGGAAATACTTAGCTAACAAAATATCTGAACGTTTTCAGGATTTCAAGATACGGCTTTTGAAATCGTAAGAACATTAAAGTTGATTAAGCACATTTTTTAAATGAAATTCACATGTTTGCAATTCCTGTGTAAATATTCTTCTTGCTTTTCTATTTTCTATTTAAAATTTTCCCATTTTGTAAGTTATTTTACTTTTTATTTGCTCATTTAAGCATTATTACTTCTTTTATTTTTGTGTTTACGCAGTTTTACATTTACCAGACTGACTGTGGGAAGCTCACATTATTAAATAGCTTCCTCTTAGTTTATTTAAAGCAAACGGAACTCTTTATTAACTACTTTATCTTACCTCAGCTTTATGCATATTTTAGTTGCTTATCATATTTTGAGTTTCGTTTTTCGCTTTTATTTGCTAATACGTATCTATGGTGGATTTTCATTAATTGGAATTCTATAAACTACCAGAATTGCTTTTAATACTATCAGGAGTTCGAATATTTATATCGTATTTCGGGATTTTCTCGTTTGAAATTTTCCGATCTTCAGCTCTCTCTTAAATTAATCGAGATCTTAAATTATCCTATTTCTAATCAGTTATTAATATGAACACTAGCACTCACGCCGGGCGTTTAAAAAAAAGATTGCAACAATCTATTCACTCGCTGCCTTTTACGAGAAATGCTGGAATTTTACTTTTTCTCTCTACCCTGTAAGAAAAATGCTGTTATTAATAAGTCATTCCTGACATCACTGAAGTTAGTTTAGGTGGAAGAAATCGCCAGTAATATGCGAAACTGACATTGCAGAGCTGAACAAAACTATCCGACTTTAGTTGAAAGCAACTAAAGGGATGGATTAGGGATGGAATTAAAAAAGATTGCTAAATACAAATTTCCATTTTGTAGCATTTCTACAAATATTAAAAAACAAACGTTTGAAATCAGACCTAGTAAGTTAATGTTTCTGTGGCGTAAATCTACAAGATCTGTTATTTACAGAAATTTGACTCGAAAATTTAATATGCATAGCTAAATTTTAGTAACATTTGTAGGCTGTTTCTAAAATTTTAATTAATGTACCTGGTGCAATTTTCAGCGCACGAGAATGGAATTACATTTTTTATCGAAATTTGTTTCTTTAGTAAATCGTATAAAAGTTTCTGACATTTTTTATTGAAAGATGCCGCATGAGTTGAATTATCTTAAGGCCTATCTTATTCGACTAATTTATTAAATTGGAATATAGACATATGGCAAACTTTTCTAAAGATATTTAGCCGTGCAAACAATTTGATGCATTTAATACATAAATAATACACACGCACATATCAATATATTTCAGTCAATAATAACAAGCTTATCAATGAAATAGTAAATGCAAAACTCTGCTACGATCTATGATATACTGTCTTTATATTAAATTTTGGATTAAAAATTGCAAGAATACTTTGAGATTTTCGTTTCAAACATTATTCTTATATCTTCATTATACAGGTGAAAGCAGGTCCAGTTTTAGGAAAGGATTTTTATTTTTTAAAATTTGTATATTTAACGGTTTCATAACATTAGTTCATACTAATATATAAGAGCACTAAATATGTAACTATGATTTTTGTTTTAAGACTACACAGCCTGTAATTTATTTACAAATACAAATGCGTATCATTATGGGTGGAGTTTTATCGTATGCATCATATAAAACTAAATTAAAATAACTAATTAATATCCGACCAAAATATCCCTTTGTGTAGACCAAACTGTCTAGTTACATTAATTAGATCTAAAATATTTAAGACATGCAAATTTCATTCTTACACTAAGTGTGATGCTTCTTGTGACTGTTTCATCATTTTATCACTTCCTTGAATAATTATTGTTAATTTTTCTAATCAGAATAATGTGGAATTAAAAAAGATGTCTGTTGGTGTTATCTGAAAGTACTCCTAACTTTTCTCAATAAAACGATCAACAAACTCTTAAAATGCTCATTATTGGTACATAGTCCCAAAAATTTGTCACTGTGGTCATAATTTCGCATGCTGATCAAATAGCATGATCAGGATCTTCGGATGAATGAGTCGCAGTGCACATTCAGGCTTTCAACAGAGACAAGACCTGCAGTGTGAAAGATAAGAGGGCTAATTCACTTAGCTATAGTCATTGGGTTAAGGATAATTTATGAATTGCAGTATCAGAGAAAATGTAACAGTTCAAGCATAATTACAAAATGAAATTCTCTTTCTTCCAGATTTTCACATGCAGAGCTTGAGTTCTAATCTAATTAAAACAAATGTGCTAGTTATAAATTATTTCTTACTAACCAAACTTGTATTCTTTCGCCTCGAAGATACTCGAAGACACTTCGAAAACAGATTATGTCGACACTTCGAAGATAGATTTCATCTCGAAGACATATTATGAATATTTCTCCATTTAGAATGTGCAAAGTTTTTTTTCCAATTATATTCTTCAAATGAAAATATTACATATTTTCTTAAAAGAAAAATCAGTGGACAAAGAAAGCAGTTTGCAAACTGGGTTTGCTACATAAAGAGTTAAGAAACGTAATTCGTGTATAATAATTAATAAATTGTAATAAAGGATATGTGTTAGTTTATAAATAAAATCGCTGGACGTTCACAAAGTTGTTTCCAACAGAATCTTTTTCTCTTTCCCAGCTATTTCCTTCTAAGTTTTAATTATTAAAGGACTATTTGTTTAATCCATGAAAAATTTGTACAGCAAAATTTGATCGCCGGAGTCTAAGGTAAAATGCAATTCACTCTTTCTTATTTTACAGCTGAACATGTTCAAATTATCCATATACACTTACTTTGAAATGAATCCAACTTGAAGCACAATTAATGTAATTTATCAGCGGAGCACAGCACAGAAATAAGTTAAAACACTGAGGAATTCTAGACTAGAAAAACTTATGTTTATATGACTGGAAGTATCCTCGTGAATGCTCTTGAGCGCTGTTCCATCATGTATTAAATAGTGGACAGAATTTCATCAGTGGAACTATCTTTAAAATATTTTGATGCTCTAGATTCTTAGATATCACATTAGACAATATTATGTAGGACATTTTTTGTGTACATTGTATCTAGCATAATTTCGAGCAATAGAAGGCGGGGAATTGGCTTTGCCGTTACATGACCTTCTCCTCACAGCAACAAACGTCTTGGCCATCTTCACGCAATTTGGAAGAGCAAATTCCGTTTTATTCTGTCTTTTATGTAACTTAAACAGACCATTAAATTTTAAATAGGAGTGTTGAGTGGAGCTGTTATCCAATTGTTTACATTAAAGAAGATTCCGTATACTTTTTAGCGACCAGTTACCGAAGAAAAATTCTTTGTTTCGTTTCAGACTCATCCATTGTGGATGGGAAAAAACTGGGTAATGCTTTTGGAAAAGGGAGGTGCTGTTAGTGACTTTTCCTCTTATCGCGCACTTTCATCGTAAAATTTTAGAAGACGAAAGGCGATTCTCCGCGTGAGTAGTTTTGTTTAAACAGTAACTTTGTTCTCTTCAGAAGTAAAAGTGAAACATACTAATGGTTATTAAATATAACAACTTACTGATTTACCTTTGCTAATTCTATGACATAAACTGCCAAAATTGAATTGTTCGGTTACTTTTACTAATTCGCTTTTTATGGCATTTTGATGATTACTGGAAATATTTCAAAATTATTTTTGAAAGCGTTAATCTTGATATTAAGTCATTATTTTATTAATTTACTTTATTTAACTTTCTTATAAATCCGCAATGTGCGAGAAGAACTGCAAGAAGTTTCAAGTCTTTTTAACACATCATTAAAGCTTTGTTATCAATTTTAAATCTGCAAATGTATCCGGAGGACTTGGGTATCGAAAATTTAGGTAGGCATATAGTTTAGGCTTGATTTTCAGTTATTGTGAAGTATTCAAGACAGTTTGAAGGTAGGGATACCATTAAGGAGAACTTTTAAACAGCAACTTTCATTTAACCAAATATACTTAGAGTTACATAAATAATTTACTGCATATTGCCAGATCATATTATTTTTCATATATAAAATTTAATTAGATCATGAAAAAATAATCATTTAGTTTTTATTTACAACTGGGAGTTTTGAGCAAAAAATAAACTTCGAAATTTTAAATACAGAACATCCTTGCTTTCTGGAATAAAAGGGACAGATAACGATAGAAAATACAGCAATATACAGAAAAACGGTTATTAAAATGATCCTACAGTGCAGCAAGCAATATTTAATTATAAACCTGCTGCCACAAAGGACGTATGCAGTTGCTGCATGTTAAAAGTTAGTAGGGAGTTATATCATTTATACCCTATAGAATAAAAATCCTTTCATTATAAAATAAAGACATATCAAGCGCAGTACACAGTGCAATATTAAAATTTTATACAATAGAAAAGAAATCCATTGGAATGGCTATTTAATGATAGGATGATGTATACTGTTAAGAATTCAACAAATTGCTTTGCAAAAAGGATGATAAAAGGTGATGAATACGAGCCATGATGAGAGTAATTTCAAGTAAGAATTTTTAATTTATCTGTATGCGGGTTAACTAGTTTTCTACTGACGCCGTTGAGGTTTAAGTCCCTCCTACTCATTTCTAAGCTACTATATAGCTTCCCCACAGTGCTGAAATTTTACAAACGTATACAAACTTTCATTGAAGATATCTTCATCTCGAGCTGAGAAGATTTTGGATGATCATGAATTTTCTAATTCCACAATAGAGTCGACTGCCTTTTCTCATCTTTTATGAATTCAGAACTTATCTGACATATTTAGAGAATTATTATTATTTTTAAAGAAATAATATGGAGAATATGAAAAAAAATTATGGCAGCCTTTAACATTTTAAAGTGAATTATAAAAATGTATGATATGAAGTATTTTTAACTTCCAAGGGCCAGTTTGTTTCCATTTGGCGAGGTGTAAGATATTTAATTCTTTTAAATTTAATCTTTCTGTTAAGGATTAGCAAACTAAGCAATTTAAAGGCAATAAACGTATATCTTTGTCGCTTTCATTACCAGCTGGAGTCGTGAAATTACACTACCTATATATATTTTTTCTTTTTTATAGTAATTATTTTAGGCGGCTAGCACTGGCAGCCACTCGTTATTTAAAAAATGAAACTAACAACTAAAGCAAGATTCGAAGACAATAGCCTTTCTGCGCTGAAAAGTGTATGGTAACACTTGACACTATATAGGGAATTCTAGTGCTATTTTATAAAATTTTGTGATTTTACTGTTGAATTTTATATGGCGTAGGCGCGAAGAAAGGCATGGTTGATAATTAAGTTAAAATAACCAAAACAAACAAACAAAAAACGTGTGTCAGAGAGAGCGAGTCCATGAGCAGATAGGTAAACTGGGAGCTCAACCAAAGCATGAAAACCTTAACATATTCTCTGGTGCGAGAGTCAAATCTTAATCCTGCCAAGTTTTCTTTTTTAAATATTTCTTGTTTGAATTTAGCAAGTTTTTTTAAACCGTCAGAATCGTTTACATCTTCTGGTCATTAAAAACCTTTTCGGAAAGAAACAATGCAATAAAAAAGCACTTTCTATAGTGGGAGCAGAATTAGAAGTAAACGGGTACTCGAGAGCCTGAAAAAATTATAAATGACACAATAATTGCGAGCTCTTTACTTTATAGCTGTCAGTATTTCAAAGCTTTATCAAAGCAAAGTATCAATCAATCCACTTTTGAAAACCCGTAGGTTAAGAGAACTGAGTTTGCTGAATGATATACGCGCTTGTACAGTCGAAAAGGGTTGTTAGAGCTGTGTCTGTAAACGTTATTTCATTTAGAACACCTAAAACATAGTTTCTCCCTATTCGCTGCGTTAATGCCGCGAGTTCGATGTATTACGACACTGACCGTGACCTGCGGTTGTGGTCAGTCAGGTAGTAGGTCTCTGCCGGAAAGGCCTCAAGCAATACGCACTAGATGCTTAAAGGCGCCTTTCGCGCATCAGAATAAATAGTAATGGATGTGTTATGAAATTTAGTGATACTAAAGTGCATTCTTTTACTTTGTGGGGAAAATCAAAACTCATGTATTTCTTTCTTTGATCATTATTTCCAATTTTAAAAGAATATCATTGTTTAAAGCCGTATAAAATTACCTAATTTTCAAATTCACGTCTAAAAGAAAACTGATAAATATATATTTGATATTTCCTTTCACGTAAACAGTAGGAAAATAAGTTGAGGGAAAAAATAATACATAATTTAAATTGGCCTGCACATTTAAATCAGTTAATTAAAATTTCTCTTTAATTGAAAATAATTCTTGTTTTATAACACATTATTACCCAGAATACATTATAAAAATGCACTTTGAAGTACTATGTACTATAATATATATGTTTCAAGAAATTAATATTGCGGTGAGTCAGTATTTTTTGTAAGCTAGCTCTTGTAGTTTAATAATAGTAGAATAACTTAAATGACGTTTGAAGTGTGATTCTCATTATCATGTTTAGACATTATCAGCAATCATTATGAAAACTAGCCATTACTTCGCCTGTGGTTTAATAAAAAATTATATTTGCATTGGCAGTAGTGGAATAATATACCAAGGTACGAAACGCTTCAGTTATTACAGTCGTTAGCATTAGAATTATCAACAATCACTATAAGAGAGTGAAAAAAATTATTCGTAGATCAGATGATTAGATCAGACATTCTCAGCACAATAATGATAAGCTTTAAACTTGAAACCCTTTGCATAACCCCAAAAACCTGAACATCTACATTATTTAATTTTTTTCCAAATGTTGTTTAAGTTTTATGTTAAAACTTATAAGGTATTTCTCCCGCCTGCCTAGCGTGCCTTCCTGGTGTAGTGATTCTGCACGCTGAGCCGGTATTTCCAGAGGTCCATGGTTCCTTTCTCGGCGAAAGCGTTTGCTATTTTTCATCTTGCCTGCTTCCAAAATACCTAATATCTCTACAGTGGCGCCCGAACTAAAAGGGTGTTGGATGATGATTCTCCGCACCCAGGATTTAGCGACTGGGTCCCCTAAAACCCAACAGTCGCCCTTTAAAAAGGGGGAGTATATAAGGTATTTCTCTCGCCTTCCTAGCGTGCCTTCATGGTGTAGTGGTTCTGCACGGTATTTCCAGAGGTTCGTGGCTCGATTCCCGGTGAAGGCGTTTCTATTTTTCATCTTGCCTGCTTCCAAAGTATCTAATGTCTCTACAAACCGGTTTCATCAATGCATCGGTTTTGTAAGCCAAAAAAAGGAAACACAAAATAAAAGACTGCTGAAGCATTTAGTCCGACTACAGAAAAAAAAAAAGTACTACTGCTAAAATAGGTGAGAAATATCTGAGACTCAATCAATTACTTGTTGCGAGAATGTCTGCCTCAGAAAATCCTTTAAGGAATTCTTTAAAATTTTGTTAATGGTGTAGCGATATCTTAATATTCTAATAATTGAAATGAATAAAATTCGATTTATGATGTCTATACAGTATAAAGCAAAATTAATTCCATACGTTATTGCTCCTAATTACGATTTAAATAAGAAATATTTTCTATTCGTTAGATAAAAATTATCTTATTATGTATTTCCTTAATTATTTGCATTTTCCTGTCTTAAAATTTACTTTTAGACGTTACAAAGTATGCTAAAAATGAACAGATAGTATGCTTCCTTTTGGTTCCTCTAAAACTCGTTAAAATTTCAGCGCTGCATTTAGCAGTGTATTTAAATGCCATATTGTTAATTCAAAAGAGCTGCTGCTAGTGTCACCGCTTTTTTCACAGTTTGTGTTAATATTTATCTCTAATTAGTATAGCTACAGAAGACTATTTCTTATTTTTAGAATTATTAATATTGCAGTAATCTTGTAAAGGCTTTAAATTAACAGCAGAGGCAATTTATCATATTTTGTATTTAAGTAAGGTTGCTCTGAACAGTGTG